TTGTGAGAGAGACCCCAGAGGACTGGGGCTCTGACCTCAGCTGCCCCCTGCGGTGGGCCCCTCATGCATTAAGTACAAGCAGAAACGATTTTCTTTCCTACTTCCCGGGGGTGGGGGCAGGATGGCGAACTTAGTTCCTTAATAAACCCAGATGTGGCGGGAAAGCAGCACATCACCCAGGAGAGAAGGGGACATGGTTCTGGGGGAGCAAGGTGGCAAGTAACAGTGTCGTGGTGCTAACTGTGGGTCGTCTCTAAGGCTGGCTGCGTCAGGGGACCGCTCTGCCATCAGCACGAAGGCAAGCAAGATACAGAAGAAGGTAGACAGACGGTCAAGTAAAAAGACATTATTCTTTATAAATAAGATGTTCATTTGTGTCTGTATTCACAGTAGAAAAATACACATTACTTCACATAGACCTTCTTTGGATAAAACACACACACACGTCCAGGACTGAGGTCTGGCTCTGCTTCACTGTGAGGGCTCTGCCTCCGTGGTTTCTAGAGGGACCCCTTCCGGGGGGGCCGTCTGCAGGGCAGGCCCCTCCATACCGGCCACTATGACAACATCTTCCTCCCCGGACATCACGGAACCCGGATGGGACAAGATCAAGCCGTCGGAAGTCTGAATAAATATCTGTTCCTGTCCCTGAGACAAAAATTCATGGCACCCATTGGTGATTTCAAAAGCCACGGCTTCTCCAGCAGCAGCAATGCTCTCCAGTTCTCTCTGGTCAGCGCGCGCCTCGGGCCCCGCGGGGAAGTGGTCCACACCCCCTGCATGGCTTCCCCGGCCGCCATCGGTGGGCAGCGACCCGGCCTGGGCCGGCTGAGGCCCCGGCTCGGGCACGGTCCTGGGGACGCAGTCAGCTGGCCCCACGTCCACAGACAAAACCGTCTCCAGCAGAGGGCCGGCAGCCTCTGGAAACAGGACGTCGCTGGGGCCAGACCGTGGGCCTTTCCAGAGGGAGCCATGCCTCTCAAGGTCTCCAGGCCCGGAAGGCGGCAGGGATGCCACCCCTCCAGGGAACATCAGGGTCCTGCAGAGATCCCCGCTGCCCAGGCTGTTTCCAGTTCCGTTCCAGTCTGCGGAGCGTTCCTGAGCATTCTCTCCAGGGAGGGCTGGCACGCACCCCTGTGTGTGCGTCCCGGGCTCTCCTGACTGAGGACACAGACTCAGCCCACGGACGTTCTCGCACGAGAGAGCGGGAGCCCCACACCCGCTCTTGGCCTCGGGGTCAGCAAATGCCCGCAGCTGCCGGCCTGCTCGACCAGACACCGGTGCCGTGTGGCTTCCTTCCGGACGGCGAGGGGCGTTCCCGCTCGCTGGAGGGGCAGGACCTAAACAGTTCAAGAAAAACAGGTAAGCGTCCACGTGCCGTGACACGGCCCGCTCACTGCGCTCGCTATCCCAGACCAGCGGGTCCAGATTAACTTCCTGGCAGAACGCGTGGACACGTAAACTCTCCTTGCTACTCGGGACTGGCAGCTTCCAAGTGTGGGTGAAGTTCAGAGGCGATACTGATTAGTCAGGTGAGGGGAGCCGTGTGGGCAACAGGGGCCCGGGTTTCCACTGCTCTCCCTGAATAAAGCTGCCCTCCCCTGCAGCAGAATTCAGTCGTAAGTTCTAAAGAGCAGAATGCCTCTTTCCATTGGAGACTTGAGGGTCAAGCAGGGCATCGGGCAGTTTTAGGAAGCAGCAGAACCATTCTCAGTGCGCTGTAGGCTCAGGGTCTGGTTGAGAGGTTCTGGTTCGAACAGAATAAAAACCAGAGGAGGGCTTGTTTCCAGGGTTAAACCTCAGCCGGCACTTACAGCCAGGCCCCAGACATGGGCTCTTCATTTCAATAAGGGATTCGAGAGAGCCTCACAGACCTCGAGAGTTACAGGGAACGAGAGAGAACCACAGGACCCCGGGAGGTGGGGATAAGACTTGAGAGAAACCAGGTTCTCTTCAATCCGGCCACAGGGGCACCCGGGAGTGAGAAGCAGGCCTGGGAGGCGCGGGGCGCACACCACGGGGAGCGCTTTACCCTGGTTAGCGGCTGGGGCTCCACCGTCAGTGGTGTCCTGGGGCGGAGGGTCTCTTCTGGTCTTCTTCACCCAGGCCGGCGCCCCGTCCGCGGTCTGCAAAGAGGACACCCAGGGAGCTAAGCCTAGGAGGGAGCGGGCAGGCTCGCACCGCTCCTCCCCGGAGGACAGCGCCGTGGGCTGCAGTCAAAGCGCCGAAACTCGGCACCGCACCCCCTTCGACGGCACCCACCTCGTTTCCCCGCTTCTGCTGGCCGGCCTCCTCCGGCTCGGCCCGGGGGTCCCGGCCCGTGTCCCCGCTGGTGCGCTGCGCTGGGACGCACTCTGTGCGCGCTTCCCGCCTCCTCAGGAATTCTGTGATTCCTAAAGACTCGGCCACCTGAGGAGGGAGGGCGACAGAGAGGAGCTGCGCTCAGCAGCACGTCGACAGTAATGGCAGGGCCGGCCGAGGCGCGTCCGAGAGGGGCGGCCCGAACGACGGGAGAAACAAAGACACGTGAGAAGTTCCGTGGAACAGCTGGGGAGAAAACGGGTCCTATCGGAACCAGAAGGTTCTGTGTTAGCACGGTGCAGAGCAGACACCAAAGGGGTTTTTCTCTTTTAATTCACTACGCTGTCCTCAGTGTCGTCGGCAGTCAGACGGCACCGGACACCGGAGTGACCGCTCGCCTCCTGTTCTCCTGTTTTTGATTTCCACTGGAACCGGCAGAAAACAATCCCACCCATTCCAGAACAATATCTCCTCTTGCAGGCAGTGGACAGGGTGAGGGTCTGGGAGGCTGAGGGTCATGTTGGGGCCCGGCTTCTGTGCTCCAGGAATCTTCCTGGTCCTGTGAGGGGGCTGCAGCTGCCCTGGGGGCATTCTGTGAAGCGACAGCTGTCACTGTTTACACGTGAACACAGGAAGGGACCACGGAGCAGGAGGGGAGGAGGCAGGGAAGGAGGGGCAGCAGATCAAGGTCTGAGCAGAGGACAGGCAGCCCCTCGAGTTCAGTGCCTCCCAGCCTGTCTGTGTCCCCTTGCAAGCTAAGCCACGGTCTGTGCCCCTAGGAGGCTGTGGCTCAGCCTGAACTGCCTGCGAGTGTGGGTCCTGACAGGCGTGCACAGCAGCCGTGTGTGTCCAGTCCGCCCTGTGACGGGAGGACACCCACACCTGCCGAGCTCACAGTTTAAAAAACACGTGACTCTTGGGGCGCCTGGATGGCTCAGTCGGTTATGCATCCGACTCTTGATTTCGGCCCAGGTCCCGAGCTCACAGTTGGTGGGTTCGAGCCTCACGTCGGGCTCTGCACTGACAGCACGGAACCCACCTGCGATTCTCTCTCTCCCTCTCTCTGCCCCTCCTCTGCCAGCACATACTCTCTCTCTCTCTCAAAATACATAAGCTTTAATAAATAAGTGTTGCATTTGTATAAAACTAATGACCAACCCCCCTCCCCCCCAAAAAAAGAACAAAAACAAAACAACCCTCGTTCTGTCAGAGTGTGGATCAAGACTTCTTGCTACGGAAGTAACCTAGTCTGCGTGACGCTAACCCTAAGAACAGGGGGGCAGACCCATGACCAGGTCAATGAAATCTTAAGAGCAGCTGAAGCAACACGGCCCAAGTGTTCCTTATGGTTGTGAAAGAGGGCTGTGGCTGCCCCTTCCTGCCCTCAGACGCACTAGTGGGGCTCTCCTTTCCAGGGTCCCCTGGCTCAGGCAGCAGACCCTGAGGGCAAAGCGTACCTTGATGGGAACCGAAACTACCCCCTCCAGCAGTAAGGACTGCCCTGACCCAGAAAGACCCCTCCCATGATTGACCCCAACACAATGATCCATTTAACCTTCACTGCCCACCGGCAGGTTCCCGCCCCCGCTGCCCCACATTTTCCTTCTCTAAACCTACAAGTATTTTCAGTAGTTTAGAGACAGTCTCTGAGACACGAGTGTGCCCCAGCTACCATTGTACAAGTGTGCTTTTAAATAAACAAGCATTACTTAAAAGCATGGCATCACGCAGTGCTCCGTTTCAAGGTGGGCCTGAGACCTGGGGGCCTGGCCGGCACGGACCCCTGAATGATGTGGCCACGCGGGGCACGCTAAGCCCAGCAAAAGGTTTTATCCAAAACAAGGAAAACCACATCAGTTCAAACCAGATTTCTACCCAGGACCCAGTACAGCCAGAGGCAACTTGATGGAGACAATGACAGGGGAATGAGAACTGTGTCTAAACAGCCACGGACGGGATCTATGGTCACCGTCCCCCAGCCCGCAGTAAGCACTGCAGTCACCACTGAGTGAGAGTGTTCTGGACCTTTCAAGGTTCCGTCAGCCCGTCCGCATTCCTGAGTTTTCTGAAACAAGCACCGTTTGCTTTTATATTAAAAAAATGTTGGGGGAGGGGGGTGCCTGAGTGGTTCAGTCGGTTAAGTGGCCGACTTCAGCTAAAGTCTTAGGCTCTCAGAGCCTAAGAGCCTGGAGCCTGCTTCAGATTCTGTGTCTCCCTCTCTCTCTGTTCCTCCCCTACTCACACTCTGTCTCTCTCAAAAAATAAACATTAAAAAAAATGTCGGGCGCCCAGCAGCCTCAGTTGGTTAAGCTTCCAACTCTTGATTTCAGCTCAGGTCATGATGTCATGGTTCATGAGTTCGAGCCCCGCATTTGGCTTGGGATTCTCTTTCTCTCTCTCTGCCCCTCCCACACGTGCGCTCTCTCTCTCTCTCTCTCAAAATAAATAAACTAAAATAAAACAGTCATTTGGTGGGAAAAAGAGCTGAAAAGCAGTCGACTATGAAGATGTCACTACTGAAAACAGGCTCCTCAGGGGTGCCTGTCTGGCTCAGTCAGTGGAGCGAGCGACTCCCGATCTCGGGGTCATGAGTTCCAGCCCCGCGTTGGGCATAGAGGTTACTTTAAAAAAATAAATAAGTAAAAATAACAACATTCTCCTCTTTACACGGATATCCTTCTTTCAGCAAATCTAAAAGCAAAACTTTTTTCCCAGGTGAGACTGTTACCTTGTTGTTGCTTATTTCCAGAGGCTCCTGGGAACACAGACCAGAACCACTGAGGTAATCTTGGCACATTTTCTTAACGCTTTTATGCAACTCTTCAAATTCCTTATACACAGCTGGGAACAAAGGTTTTGCTAGATGACCTGTCTCAACCTTTGTGAAGATAAAGGTGACAAGAAATGTTTAAACCAGAGGCAACGAAATGACAAATACAGGGGCTTGGAGGCGGGAAGGATACGAGCTTGTCAGGCCGTCCGCGGCCCGTCATCTCCTCCACTCCCCAGTGACAGCCCACATGTGCCCGGCCCCGGACGGGGCCCCAGAGCAGACCACCTCCAGGGTGACAGCCGCAGGGGGACTGTGGGCCGGAGCCCCGAAGAAGGGGTCGCGGGGGGAGCAGGAAGGGGAGACGGAAAGGTTCTGGGGACGGGCCGGCAGGCAGGAGGGGCCCAGGCCTTCACTCCTCCCGGGAGCTGTGCTGGCGCCTCTCGGAGTCAGAGCAGGCTCACCAGGGAGGAGGTGCCCGAGAGGAAGGTGACGGGGGCTGGGGGCCGGCCCTGCTTTGCTGCCACCACTTTCTTGCCTCCCACATGAGGTTAAAACAGGCAAGGGGGTCCTTGAGCAGCCTCTGGGAGACCTGGCCGAATAGGCACCGGTGGGGCCAGCAGGCTCCCCTCAGCTCTGTCCTGGAGGAGGGACACGATTCCAAACGGCCCGGCTCGTTCTAAAACAAATGCGAAGGATGTCTTTCGAAATAACTTCAAATCGGCCGTGTGTCCTCTAGACATGCTCAGGAGACTCACCTTCATCAGAAGAAACTCGTACACGGTCACCACCTGAGCCAGCTGAGGCAGCACCAGGTCCACGAGAGCCTCTCGGTCACACTGCTGGAGAAACTGCCAGAAGAAAGCATTTAACAGCTTCAAAAGCCCCAAAATAATCCCCAGCAGCCAAAAAGTTGGCGCCGAAGAATATAAAAGACCTAAAGTTCCCCCAAATCGCAGTGATTAAGCGACTCCGACATTCTGTTAACGATCTCACTCGTTGATCCGTTAACAAAATCTGTGACCAATTCTGGAATCAAAGTTTGACTCCCCTGGGACGGCTGAGCTTAGAGGGGGTACCAGGTCCTGGAGAAGGAACAGTGTTCCCTGCTCTCCGGGGGCACCAACTAGTGCCCGAGATGAAAATGCAAACAAGTGTGGGGCAGCCTGCGGTTGGGAGACCACCGCCAAAGGACAGGCCAAAGAAGAGGAGGCCCCGAGGTGAATGCAGGGGTGGGGGGGGTGGGGAGAGGGATGCGGGGAGGGCACAGTCCTCAGGACTAGGGGAGGAGCATGAATGACTGTGGGTTCCCAGTTGGGCACAGGGCAGACCCCCGGGCAAGTCAGACAGGAAGCGGGCTTGGGGGCTCCCCTTGGAAGGGGAGGGCGGGGAGGTACAGGCCGGGCCGCCCCGTGGGAGCGCCGAGGCTCAGGAGCCAAGTGAATTAGCAGGTACAGGAAGTACGTGGGTGTCCGCGAGGGAGGATGGCCTGAGAAACCAGACGGAGGAGGTCACCCAGGGCGGCAATGACGTGGGTGGGGAAGGGACCAGTCTCAGAGACAGGAAGTCTTAAGAGGCACAGGGAGCTCACGAACCATTCGGGTTCATCGTCTATTAAGTGGAGATAATGATTATGGAACCAATGAAATGAAGTAAACCTGGAACTTAGCACGGGGGCAGGGCGGAGAGCATGGCCGAGCTGCCACGCACGGTGCTCAATAGGTGGCGGTATTTCAAGTGTTAATGACTGAATCGAGTCGAGGACCACCTTCCCTCCTGCTCCTAAAATCTGTCATCCAGGATTAATCGACAAGCCCAATGAGAGGACAGCGAAGTCACCGGGTTTAAACTTCCAGCTAGAATATGTAAGCTCATGACGCTTTCTAGGAAAGCTTCCTCACCGAGAACCTCTCGTCCCCTTGTGTGTGACTCTGGAGGCCCTGGTTCCCTGGTGGCCACTCTGAGAGCAGCTGTCTCGCTCACTCACTACTTCGCACTCTTTGTTCCTGTTCACTTCTTTAAGACACGCAGCTGGCCGTTACCAGGCAAATAAATACCGCGGAGCCAAAGACAATCGGGATGAATTTAGGGTCCCACTTTTCTAAATCAGTCCCCTTAAATTCACCAAGCTTACTTTCAAGGGACTGGAATGGAGATTCCAGGGTTCAAAACCTGAAACATGATTTTGTACCTTAAAACTTTGTACAGAAAAATAGAAACTGCCTGTTTCCTAAACTGCTTCTATGAAAACATAGCTTACAATCATTCCCAAACGTGTAACGGCAGGCAGCCCGAAAGCCCTCTTGTTATTCCAAACCGGTAAACCTAGAATTATTTCAGGTAACGCTGTTCCTGAAGTTATTACACACTTCGTCCAAATACGTTTCAGGCGAACTATTTCGTTGCTCTGGGTGTTTTACTTTTGACTCAGAAACCTACCAGCGGATTGCCACACGCCATGCCAAAGACACGGGTTTCAAGAACAGGGTCTAAAAGCCACGCACCTCCTTGAGCCGGGCTCTGGCCACCGAGGCGCTCTGTGCACCTGCCACGCAGGCACCGGCGCGCCCACGCGGGTGAGCGGCTCCGCCTCGCCCAAGGACGGCCTCGCTGGCCTCTGCAGGGGCTGCTACGAACTCGATTCGTCTAGGGCCTGGGTGTCTCTCTGATCCCACGAAGGCCGAATAATTTCCATCTTCTGGTTCAGACACCAAGGCGTCTTCAACTTCTACAGACTGGCTATTCTAGAGAGCGTTACGCACCCAAAACAAAAATGAAAGAATCATACTTTACACGCCATAGTGACAACCCTAGAGCCAAACAGTGTCACGTCAAAAGCAAAGAACTTGAGAAATTATTTCTTCTCTGCATTATCAAGACACATTAACTATAATCGACGCACCTTAAACTTTCCCAACAGAGTTCCTTGTTGCGACATCTGGTATTAGCCAGCCGGTAAGTCTGGGTTGGCCAGCCATAACCCTGGATGTTGCCCAAAATGAAACAGGAGACTTCTCTGACACCACCGTCATCTTAAAACTGAACCTGAAGTTCGGTCATTCATACCTTACGCGTGACTTTTAAAAATTTTATTATTTTTTATCAGGTATATTTCAAACACCATGAAATTCATACTTTGAACATCTATAGTTCAGATTTTCATGCACTGACAAGGGTGTGTAACCATCACCACATGTTCTAATCCCAAAACATGTTCATACTCCCCCCTGCAAAAGAACCCCTGTACCCGTCAGCATCATTCATTCTTCCCTGCCCCCAGGCCCTGGGAGCTGCTAGTCTACTCTCTTGTCTCGTGGATTTGCACGGCTTTTGGACAGACTCTTGGATCTGACGCCAGCTACTTCCTCACTCGGTGCCAACTCCCCCTCTGAAAACAGGAACAATGCACCTGCATCTCCCAGGACTGCTGGAAGCTTAAATGGATTCAAGGAACACACTTCACGTGGCAGCCGGCACAAAGTAAGTCCCCTGAACTCTTACGGGATTTTCCGTCTACATCTTCACTAGTGGAGCTGCAGGAGCAACGCCAGGTCTGTCTGTGGCCCTAGGTGCCGTGAGTCTGCTCACGGGAAAGGACAGGAGAGACACAGGCCTGCGTGTCCCTCCCCACCGCAGCAGCTGGAGGCACCCCTCCCACGCAGTCTGGACAGCCACCATGCCCGAGGCCAGGCACTCGGGGCATGCACTCGGGGACTCTGGTATCTACATGCTGCTTCTGCCGTGGGGTCGCATTTCATCACTGAAGGAAGCAGGACGTGCCGGTTAGCCTGGTCAACCCGAGACACTCCCGCACACACCTGTTGTCCCTTGGAATTGTGAATAGTGCCCCTTTCACTCTCAGAATGTCCTGGTTTGGATGATGAACTATAAATCACCGTGGTCCCATTTCAACTTAAGAAAGTAGACAAAGGGGCACCTGGTTGGCTCAGTTGGTTGAGCGTCTGACGCTTGATTTTGGCTCAAGTCATGATCTCAGTTCGTGAGTTTGAGACCCGAGTCAGTATCTGCACTGACAGTGAGGAGCCTGCTTGCGATTCTCCCTCTCTCTCTCTCTCCCCCTCCCTGCTCACACTTTCTCTTTCTCTCAAAAATAAATAAATATTAAAAAGAAAAAAGAAAGGTAGAGAGGTTTCTCAAAAGTTGGGGTTTTACCAGCCATGAGGAGTGCAGAACCTTCCCCAACAAGGCAGCCTACAGTGTGGGCTTTGAAGTCAGAAGACCTCAACCTCAGTCTCGTTCCCACCTGGCAGAGTCCTAGATGTGCCCCGACGGGATGCCCACCATCCTCTGAGCCCCATGCACTTGTCTTGCACCTGACTTTCGGGGATCTCACAGGATGGAGAAGACTTACAACACTCCCGCCCCAACGAGGCGTGCAATCAACAGTATATTGTTAGTGTCCGTGTTACTAGTACTCAGGCTAACGCTACAGGGGAGAGAGTACTTTTGAATCCTCACATGGGGCTGTTCCGTGGTTCTTGCCACTAGACCTCAGTACAGATAAGCCGGGCCCAGACAAGACCTGTTCAGGCCCCAAGGAACCCATCTGTAAGCGAAAGCAGCCACCAGCCTCACCCCTCCTTCGGGAACCCCCGTCCCGCTGCAGGGAATGAGGTGGCCAGAGCAGACAGGCTCTCGTTAACAACATCTTCCGAGTCACTAAAATCACAAACTCCCAGCGACAGCCGAGTCAGTTCCAGTGCTGGTTTGTCTAACATTTCAGGAACTGCAAATACAATTGCCTAGCCAGAAGCACAGACACAAATAAAGCCAAGACAAGTCAAAGGAGAAGGAAGCAGGAAGGTTCAAGCGAAGCAGGTGAGGGTAACCACAGAGGTCTGCCGTTCGTTCAAGTGATCCGTCCGCATTTCGTAAATACCTGACCGCTCGTATGCGGCACACGAGGGCACAGGACACGTTTAGGAACCTGAAATTGCTGTCCCTCAACTGTGGCGTGGTGGTGCAAAGTCAGAGTGGCTTCGACCCGCCTTGTCTGCTTGTGAGTTTCCAAAGGGCCAAGATGCGAAGACGGCATGTCACTGCTGACGCTCCAGGAAGCGCCCCGGGGACCACGGCTCCCAACTGAGACCTTTCTCAGGGCCCGCTGTGACTCCAGCAGCAACACAGGAGTGCTCTGCGGCTCGCGTTGCTGACCAGAGCTAGAGAATCCGTGGCTATGTTCCCATCGAACACGCCCAGTGAGGCTGGCGAGTACCCCACACGGAGGGTGCCCGGCACCTTGCTGGTCGGGCGGCTGTAGAGACCGGGGGCGGGGGGGGCGGGGGGGGCCGGGGGGGGTCTCAGAGCCCCTGCCGTGACCTTGGACCTACTTGAGCCTTCACCTGAACCCCCATCAGATACCATAAAGCCTCACTTCGGGATGGGCAGGAAGAAGGACACGGTCACCAGTAGAAACATTACCTGCAGGCCACACGGTGGTGACTGGGCCCCTTCCTCACCCAGAAGAGCTGACGTGGGCAGCCCCGGGGACGGTAGGCTAGCCGTCCTGCCCTCGGCGCAGCCTCGGGTCGTGCTCCCGTTGGCCTTCTCAGACAGAGACACCTCCGGTTCTGGGTGGCCGTGGCCTGGATTGAGTTTAAGATGCCGGGCCAGGCCCCCTTTTCCTATGTAGGACTTCTCACACGTCTGACACTTGAAAGTCTTGGGCCTCAGGGAACAGCTCGACAGGTCAAACAGCACCCGCTTTCCCCTCTGGTCGTCGTCGTCTTCCACACTCAGCTCTGAGTAATCGTCAGAATCTGACAAGCGACCGTCAGCCAGGTCCTCCGTCTTGATGAACTTATAATCTTTGACTTTATACTTGGGCGGTCGAGATATCCGTCCAGAACGCGTCTTCACTTTTAAAGATTTTTTTAGCTTCTCCGTGTGTTTTGTGTGCAAGCTGGAAATAAAGAAATTCGCGGAACCGGATGAAACAGATGTCACCGCCGGTGGGTCAGACGCTGACAGAGGGGCCGGCGTGGCGCCCGGTCCTTGCGGAGCCACCAGCTGCAGGGCGGGCAGTGGCCTCTGTACAAACACCCGAATCGGAGGGGAGTCACTCGGGAAGCGCGGCTGTGCCCGGAGCCCCAGCACGCCGGGCACCCCCCTGGGCGGCTGGCTCAGCCCGGCTGTCCTGGGCTGGAGGGTGGCCAGTGGGGGCGTCGGCCTTTCCTGGTCTGTCATTTGTCCAGATACTACCTTGACACAAATGGCTTCCAGTTGCTTAAAGACAGAAAGAGAAAAGCGTTAGGCTTATCAACGGTTCTACAATTCTGCTCTCATCTTAACTGTATTATCACACGTGTTTCTAAATTATAAAATCCATTGTATATGTGAGTCTATTTAACGTACGTGTACTGTTTCTAGTGACACACTTGACCTACATCCATATGTGCATGTGGAAATATTTGCATAAACAAATTAAAAGTTCATGAAACCACTTAACGTTTCTCTACAAATGCCTTCTGATAGGATCTATCCTACGTTGTTTTTTAAAAAAATACTAGTCAAGGGGCGCCTGGGTGGCTCAGTTAAGTGTCTGACTTTGGCTCAGATCATGACCTCCTGGTTCATGGGTTTGAGCCCTGCATGGGGGTCTGTGCTGACAGCTCAGAGCCTGGAGCCTGTTTCAGATTCTGTGTTTCCCTCTCTCTCTGACCCTCCTCTCCTTGCTCATGGGCTCTCTCTCTCTCAAAAATAAACATTTAATAAATAAGTAAATAAATAAATAAATAAATGTAGTCACAATCTACTAAATTGATTTCATGAACTAATAAGAAATATCCCTCTTTACAGTAGATTTGTATTTACTTGGAATTCTTAGTACTCTAACCTGGATTCAGTTCAATACATACGCTCTTTTTTTTTTCAATTTTTCATGAAATCCTAGAAAAAAGCCATAAGGAGCAATATAACACAGGTTCCCACCACCTGCCTTAAAACATGCAGCACTTCCCTCTGAGGTGAAGCTCTGTGCTGTTCTCCCAGCCTGCGTGCCTTCCTGAGTGCTATTTGTCATTCACACGCATTTTTATATTATCTACGGAGCTACCCCCCAAAAGACGCACTTCGGTTTTGGCGTGTTTTTAAACTTCACGTAAGCGTACGTGACCTGCTGCAAGCGGGTGCAGCGTTTTCAGGTGTGTTACTTCCTGTCCGGCTTGTGAAATTCATCCACACCGCGGTGTGTAGCTCTCAATTCCTCTGCAGTCTGAGAACACTCTCCCGTTGACGGGCAAGTGTCCCTAACCTCGCGCTCTTGTCGTCTGCGTGGAACCTTCGCGGGTGTCTGTGTTCACGTGTGTGAGTTTCTCCAGGGCACATACCTGGGAGCGGGGTGCTATCTTCAACAACTTTTTAACATGTAAGAAAGCGTTCAGTGCGTGCACTTCCTGATGTGGCAATTCTGCTTCTTGGGTTCCATAAGAAACACTGGCATAGGTACAAAGATGTAGGTCTTGGGAGGGTCAAGGCAGCACGGTTTGCAAGAGCAAACCACCCACCGAAGGGGAGGGCTGCCCTCGACAATATTCCACAGATAATGACTGAGCAGTTACTATGTGCCAGACACAATGTTAGGTACACACCTGTCATGGGCTCAGGGGAGAGGCAGCAAGACACAAGGCTCATGGCCTCACGCTGCAAAAACGATCAGCATCAGGGAGCCTGGGTGGCTCAGTCAGTTGAGCATCCAACTTTGGCTCAGGTCATGATCTCTTGGATTGTGGGTTCGAACCCCGCGTCGGGCTCTGTGCTGACAGCTCAGAGCCTGGAACCTGCTTCGGATTCTGTGTCTCCCTCTCTCTCTGCC